AATTCTTATTAAACAAGAGCACCGCACACCTTTCTAAAACACTCATCATTTGCAAGGCAAAGCCCAAACTAATAAATTTATTACACTGAACCATTATATATGCATTTAGGCACTGTGACTAGATGAGAGAGAGAGAGAGAGAGAGAGAGAGGCAGAGAGACCAATTCTGCTGGAGCATTTGAAATCACACAGCACTGCCTTAAGCTGCAATCGACAGGCTGCCAGTTTTATCCTGAGAAGCCTGAGGTGATATTCCAAAGTTCATAGAGATAAAAGATAATATCCCGCTGAATTTTGCACCCATTTGCAAAATCCAAGTGACAAGCGGATGATTTGCCTGTTCCTGGGGTGCTAAGCTCAAGGCCAGTTCTCAGGCACAAGTTCGAACAGTTTGTGGTTTTATTGTAATTATCAAATATTAGGAAAGGGCAGGGCAGGCTTACTGATTTTGAGATGGCACTGAGTAAACTTGAAGCTATGGGAACAGATCTTCTGCAGAAAACATCCCCCAAGAGGAGAGACACCAAGTCAGGTAGCAAACAGTAGTTCCCATTGTAATCTATTGTTTCAAGGTCATGCAACCTCTGAAAAAAAGTGCTCTGGGAAAAGCCTTTGCAGCTACCACCCAACTCAGTCTCCCTTTTAAAAGCCGTCTTGCTAAATAACTTTTCTCCACTAATGTGAACTACCCTCTAGCTCCTCTTTCTTCATCTATTATTCTGCACTATAAAAAGTTAGCTGGAAATCTAGCAACAACACAGAACAAACTGGGTTCCTGGTTGCAAAGGGTGGGAACATGGCCTCCCTTTTAATGAATTTATTGCTGCAATAAAATATTGCCTTTAAATAAAGAAGTTCACATAATGACATTGGGGATGAGATGTGCCTCGGCTTGTGAAAAGGGAATGAAAATGAGGACTGGACTGATCAGAAACCAAACTGATGCATACTTACTAGATCCCTGGGTGACTTGGTCAAAAAAGATCCTGCTTCCAAACTGATTAACAGTTGCAGCAACGACCTATTTTCCACTATATCATCAAATTGAAGTATGTGCGTCAGAGACAAAGAGATCAGGAGTGGAACATTATGCAGAAGACCAGTGAGTTCTGATCCTCCCCCCCCCCCAAAAATCTGAGGTTTAAGATCTTCAGTGTGCATGTCTTTTGCACTTGTTAGATTTTCAAGAATTTATTAAAAACAATAAAACTATCGCCAAACTCTGAAGTTTCCCCTTTCCTGAACTAAGGAATCAACCATAATGTTTCAAGGGATTAGAAAAAGATGAAGGGATATTACAGGTAAGAGAAGGAGAGAGACATAATATACTGATTTAAGGCCTGGGGACAATAACATGCAGTCTTTGATGTGTCATAGGCCTCTTCGATATAACAGGAAGCAGAAAATAGAGCTCACTTTCTCATTCAGGAAGAACCACCTGACACAAGGAAATTAATCTGTGGTGAAGCCATTCAACTCCACAGCATCTGGATAAGGCAGGTGCAAAATCTGAGCAGGCGTTGCTATTACATAAGCAAGCCAAGATACATGTGCTCCCTCTTCCACCTGTGTATATTTATTTTGCTGCAAGCCATAGTGTACCAGTGCATCTAAAGAGCCAGATTATGGGTTGTTCTTGTCTTTCAATCCAGACTTGAAAATCACAGACAGAAAATTTAAACCTTGTTATAAATTTGATGCTCAGGATGACTCCTTTGCAGTATGCAAATTTCCTATTTAATTAAAAATAATCCAAAAAATAAAATTAAAATCAGTTGGGGCTGGGAACGTGGGAGGCAGCAAGGAGACTGCAGGCATTTCAGTAACCATAGGCACTACATTTCACCTACTGAAATCATAATGCAAGATGCTTTAAAATCCATGTTGTCATTTTAAATCAAGAACTAATTTATAGCTTGTTACAATCCAAGAAATGAAAAGACTAGAGATTAGTTTTCTGGGAATCATGATGTGGCCTGGTGTGACTCCTCTGGCTCTTCCCATGGATCACAACAATAATTTACGTATTTTTATACAGACACTCTATGGCTTTGTCTGAGTTCCATCATCAATATTTTGCAAGGTGCTTATCTGAGTTAGAAATCACCATGTAATATTTTTGGAAAAATCTGAAGTGTACTAAGATACTAAATGAACAACTTTAGAATGTTTCAGTGGATTTTTACCAAATTAATTGGCTTGAGGACTGTAGTTTTTGTGCATAACTACTAAAAGGTTTGCCCTTATATAATCTCATGGAAGAAAACACAAAGACAGCTGCAAATGAAACAGATGGAAGATCAAAGCTGGCAGCCTTTTTAGAGCAATGGCAGAGACCAACATAGCTCAGATAAAAGAAAAGGTGAGAATGAGCTATGAAGATAAGTAATGATCTTTAATATACGCAATGTAAGCAAAAAAACCCCAAATAAGTAATTCTAGATTTTTTATAATTATGAGTACCAAACTTTTATTTCTATTAGTGCAAGTCGATATCCATAATCTACTTATTATATTTTCTGATCTATGAAAAGTTTCTCTGCTTTTCATCAGAATGAAAACATTCCCAAAGTGGGAATACAAAAGACAATAAAAGTAATAAAAGTGCCTAACAGTCAACATTTTAAAATAAATTATGCAAATATATTGTTATCAGGGTACAAAGGAGTACAAAATCGAGCCTATTGCAATCTGATTTTAAAATAATAACATATAGAACTTTCATCCCTCCAAAATATCTGAAGGTAAAGTTGTACTATCTATGCACAAATGCCTACATTTAAACATTCCAAATCAGAGCTATCTTGTCTTACTACTATGTAATGGCTTCATCCCTAATATCACGATAAGCAAGGGTCCTGATATTATATTCCACCAGTTTATGTGTCCAGTTTTGTCTAATTCTGTGTGCGCCAACCTCATATACAGGTAGTCCCCAGTTTAAGAATGAGTTCCATTCCCAATGTCTGCCCTTAAGTCAAATTTGTAGTTATTTGTACGTATGATATTATTGTATAGTGTTGTATAAGTAATACTGTGTAAGGAACTCAAAACATTGTGTATTTAACTTGAATTTTGCTACAGTAGGCTCCATACTTAACTATGGGTCATCTTTAACCCAGGCATTCTTAACCCGGGGACTACCCATATAACAATCCCTTAAATCTA